TGTGCAAGCTCCCCTCCTCATCATCCTCAATATGACACAAATCGGACAGAACTCCTGAAGCTGTTACTGACTTGTTTTAGTGAAACTGTTTACCAGCCACCTTCTGGTAAGTGTTTACAATATTCATCATAGGAACGTTGGATCATTTTTTTCATGACATTACCCTCACTTTCCCTTTACAGAAACATCTCCATCTCCAAATCGCTGGATTCAACACCTCACTTCTGCTGATAACCGCCATGCTCTTCCTTTATTCACTTCTCTTTTGAACTCAGTCTGTGCGTATGATCCAGTTGGCATGGGGGTCCCATACAACCATTTGTTGTTTAGTGACTCTATGGAGCCATTGGTTGATGTGGCCCTCCAAATTCTAATTGTCACTCTTGATCATGACACAAGTGGTGTGCTTCGAGAAAGTGATGAGGTACTTCTAGATTATTTTAAAAAAATTTAGAGAGTTTAATTTTGGTACTTTTAAACTCAAAGTTCATTTGTCAATTTTTAAATTATTTTTTCTGTTATCAGCAACCATTGGTCCCGGACAATCTATTCATTAACTATCTGAGCCGAATCCATCGGGATGAAGATTTTCAGTTTGTATTGAGGGGCTTCTGCCGTCTCCTAAACAACCCTCTAATGCAAACATATTTGCCGAATTCTACCAAAAAAGTCCAGTTTCATCAGGAGTTGCTGGTGTTTTTCTGGAAGATGTGTGACTACAACAAGGTGAAAAATAATTTCCAAATTATTGTAATCACTATGTTACAGTTGAATCATATATATTATTTTTTAAATATTGTTCAAATTTTTCTTACCTCTAGAAATTTTTGTACTATGTGCTGAAAGGTGATGATGTTCTGCATATCCTTGTGCCAATTTTATTTCATTTGAATGATTCACGAGCTGATCAATGTAAGTTTTAGCAGCTTAAAAACTCAATGCCTTATCTAATTTTGTATCTATTTTCTACCCTGATACACTTCTGCTCATGCCAATTTACTTTGTATCAAATTCTAGCACGTGTTGGTCTGATGCACATTGGTGTGTTCATATTGCTTTTGCTTAGTGGTTATCGCAATTTTGGTGTCCGTCTCAACAAACCTTACACAGCTACTATACCTATGGATATACCTGTTTTTACGGGTGAGTTAACCTTACACCATTGAATTTGTTAAACCAATTGGTTTGTATACCAATCGCATTTGTATGCTTACTAGGCTTACTGACAGTTCATTATTTACACCCATTACAGGAACTCATGGTGATTTACTCATCACAGTATTCCATAAGATTATTTCAACTGGACACCAAAGGCTTCAACCTCTCTTTGACTGCCTTCTAACAATACTTGTGAATGGTGACTATGCCTATCTATATTTCTGTCTGTCTCATCAAGATATTTCAGTTTTTAATTTTTGGATTTTTTTTATTACAGTGTCTCCATATTTAAAAACCCTTTCAATGGTTGCCAGTACAAAACTGTTACATCTTCTTGAGGCATTTAGTACTCCTTGGTTCATCTTCTCATCTTCAACCAAGCATCAGTTGGTTTTCTTCTTGTTGGAAATCTTTAACAACATCATTCAATACCAATTTGATGGTGAATTGAAACAAACATTAACAGTTTTAGCTGATTTTCCTTAGAATAGTTTTTATTGCTTTATCATTATTATCTATTGTTTTCTTTCAGGAAATTCCAACTTAGTGTACACTATCATAAGAAAACGTCAAGTTTTTCACTCTTTAGCCAGTCTCCCTACTGATGGTGGGTCTATCAATAAAACCTTATCCAAGAAACCTCGCCGCCATATCCCTAGTGTATCCCCCAATACCGATTCAAGTGAAACTCCCGAGCCTGAAGCACCCAGTATGGAAGGTTCTCGGCCTGCACAACCAGCTGAACCAGGCACTCTTAAAGTCTCATTACCAGAGACACCTGGTATGTCAAGCTTTACTAGCCTATACTAAACTACTAACAGTTCACGTATGTATCAATGTGCTGTTATTTTTTTCAGGTATTGAAAACATGACTGAAAGAGAATCAGCACATCCAGCTAGTCACTCAAATGAATCAGCTCCGACTCCTACCCCTGCCAATGAAAGTCCTTTACTGGAACAATGTGCAAATACCCGGCAAGGAGATGGGATGGAAGGGCCTAGTATTGATAATGTATGTGTATGTGTGTTTGACTGAAATTATCCAGTCTGTATATAGTTCAGGGAAATTAATTAATGATTTTTTCTTCTAATTTGTTTTTGAATTCTGTTTGTAGAGCTCTGTATCCTCAAATTCTTCCCAAGCTGAAGCCGACGGTAGCCGGCCTTTGCGTAGGGCCGTGAATCAGGTAAATTTTCATTTCTCCTTGTGATTAGTTCATTGTTGATTTTTTGTATAATAAATGTGAGAATTGAAGTGAACCATCGATTTCTATTCTAGCGGCAAAGTATTCGTCTGACAGATGCAGCAGTGCCCGGAGAGAATGGTGAAGGAAGCCCCCAGTGGGTTCCAACAGCAGAATGGGTGCGCTCGTGGAAAAGCAAGCTACCCTTGCAGAACATTATGCGTCTATTGCAGATTCTCGTCCCTCAAGTGGAAAAGATTTGTATAGATAAGTAGGTGTCTCTGGATTTTAACTACAGACTGCAGTATTACTCACACACTGGGAATTTCCATTTCTTATTTCTTATGGCCAATTTTCTTTTCTAGGGACCTTACAGATGAGAGTGAAATCTTAAAATTTTTGCAACATGGCACCCTTGTTGGCCTTCTCCCTGTTCCTCACCCAATTCTTATTCGCAAGTACCAAACAAACGCTGGTACCATTGCTTGGTTAAGGACATACATGTGGGGCGTTATTTATCTCAGGTGCTCATGAAAGCATAATAATTTATTCGGTTCATGAGCATGCAAGTATAATATATTTTCTTATCTTCTTCTTTTTTTCAGGAATGTTGATCCACCAATCTGGTATGACACAGATGTGAAGCTTTTTGAAGTTCAGCATGTACAACATGAGTGAATACCAATCTCTTTTATTTTTAAATGATCTACAGTATGTTGTCTTTTTCCTTATATCTAGGCTTCCAGTTTCAAATTATATTTAATTTTTTGATAAAGAGTCTGGAAAGTTGTTTACCAATGAAATTCTAGAGGAGGACATCTTTTAGGCATATTTTTATTATGATCTGTTGAAGTTTTTAGTTGATTTATGAAATGTTTTTTTTTTTTTATTGTCTTTGATTGGACGCTTGTTTTTGTATTTTGTAATAGTCGAAGCAAACTTCTTCTGATATTGTTTTCCATGATGACCTTGCGTAAAGAAAGTAAGATGAGGTTCTTATTTATGTATGTTTACTAATCATGGTTCCGTGCTATAAGACTGGGTTACCGGTAATTGAGACATATGAAGTATATTGACTAGCATCTTTTGTGTGGTGTTAATTTATTTCGTGATTTGACATAAAGGATTCAGTTTTTAATTCACCTTGGTTACCATTCCATCTAATTTTCTTACCTCACTTAATGACAAAGAGAATTGTGTGTAACTACCTTGCATAAATGATAATATTGATCTGTAAATATCTCCAATTTAGGAGAGAAATCATGCTTTTACTATTATAATTTTTGTTTGAGGGAATTAAGTAATCAAGTGTTAGTTATTTATTCTTTTTGTAAGTGTTAGGAATAATCCTCTCAAAGTTGGCTGCAATATTTATGTTGTACCTGTTGTGTTCCTTTAAAAAAAAAGTATACTGGCTTTAAGTGTTCAAGACTAATTATTTTTATCAGGCATTTGAAATCAATTTGAATTTTACAGAAGGTGGATTTACGATAGCAACGCTGCGAGTGTGTCTTTAACGCTAGCGTCGAATTAACGGTGGGGAAGTGGTCAGAACAGGGTGAGGCCGGAGTGGAAAATAGCACGAAGGTCTCTCCGAGCGTTGTTCTAATGCTGGCAGTTGAGCTTAGCTTGCAGCGTTTTGGTCGTAAATCCACCTCAACAATGCTAGGCAAGAATAGCTGAGGTATTTAGCATGATACAGCATTCAGGATTGCATTGATTTTTTGGTTATTCAACATTGAGTTACTTATTGGTGCGTTTCTTATAATTTCTTTCCAACCTTCTCTACATTCCATTGATTTAATGTTGCACTTTTTAACATCTTGAGTCCCAGAGCAATCACATACGGTGATGTGTCCACTTGTGACTTAATGTGCTACATGTAACGCGATGTGACGCATTTGTTGGGTTCTTAAAGTAAGACTTTTGATTTAGCGTTGGGTACATAATGTTTTTTAGTTTATTTAAAAATATGTTAATTAATCATGTACTTTTTCCCCCTGCAATGCAAGAGTTGTATATATTGCAGTGCTATTTATGGTTTTGATCATGTTGTGATTTTATGAGCAATTAATTAACTGAGCTGCTTGTGCTTGTGATGCCCAGGAAAAATTGTAAACAGTTTTTTGTTTTGTTTTCACTTTGGGTTTTTTTGTATCTTACATTTGCTTATCTGCACTTTATGTTTTAAAAATCCTTGCAATACAATGTTTTAGATTCATTACATTGAGAGATTGTATTACGTACTGCATTGCATTTTGTTTTATTAATTCCGGTTGGAATATTGCCCCTCAATATCTGTGTAGTGCAAAAATTTGTACTTATTTTTTCCTACCCCTTAAATATATTTTGAGATCAGTTATAAGTGTGAGGATAAATTTTATTTAACTACTACATAACTCTAAGCTGAGAGTTCACAATGTCCATTTTTAAAAAATAAGTATCTTGCCAATCGTTTAACTTTTGATTTAGTCAGTTTAATAAACTTGTCATCGAATCAACCAAAGCAGCTGTTTCGTCACCTTTATCACACAATTTAGTTAGATGAGTACTAGACTAGGTGTTTTGTGGTTATAAAATGATTGACTGCATTACTAATTGCAGACGATTAATGACCGTATCTATCGGAAATAAAAACACATCGGGGGACTCATGATGTGTGGAAGAGACGGCGTACAAACAGCCCTTCCCTCGGAGAGGGACCGAAGAGGGACGCGGAGGGACGAACCATCACCTGTTCCCACGGTCTGACGGCCAATCAGAACAAGGGGTGGGGGAGGGGCAGCTTGTTGTTGTTGTTGTTGTTGTTGCTGCTGCTGAGTTGTAGTGCAGCCTTTGAAGTTGCCGATCAGTTGCTCTACAACCAACGAAGACGAACGGTCTAACTCTCGGCTCTTGTGCTTTGCCGGCGACCTAGCGTGTGTTAGACTGGGATTTTGGTTTTGACACCAGTTGACATTGGTCTTTCCGCAATTAAACCATTTTTAACAATGGACCCCTTTCGCTATCACGGTAAGTCAATCGGTCTTCTTGGAATAGTACCTTACTTTGTTACTTTGCATTTTCTGGACGAATACGTGTCATCGCTTGTTTCTCGACGTTCTTACCCGTCCTGGGCCTCTTGTTAATACACCGTACTCAGCTGATGATGTATTGACAAATTGTTTATTGTTTTTATCGTATGGAATGACCGTGGGAAAGTGCCTCAGCTGCTGTTCTCAGGTGGTCGCGTTTACCCCCCCCCCCCCCCCATCTCTCTTGACTTGACATCGCTTGACTTGAGAGATGAAGGCCAGCTATGAACCTAAGTTTTTTTTTCTGTCCTATCCCCTAATCACCCGCAACTGTCTTCTCAACAAAATTTTATGTTAAGCTCTTTGTCTGTATGTTTTTGTATTCAACAGTCCATGTAATCACATTCATGTTTTGAAAATATGTATGAGTTTGCTTATCTGACAGACGCACCTGTTATTTGTTGATATGAAATGTTTGTGGCTGGTTGGTAGGTGTTGATGGCTTTCTCCTTTTTGCTATGAGTTTTGATTTTCCGTCCTTTGATTACAGATACCAAAGAGGCAAGCAGGGTTGTCCCTTTAATGCCCGTCGTACTTCCGAAGAACCCAGGTGAATCTAATGTTGTCAATTCTACAACCAGTCATCATCACATAAAAACTGAGTAAGTTAGAAACTGAAGAGATGGAAAGTTGCTCTTTTCAATTTTCATTAACGTCTTAACTCCTGGATTCCATTTCTAGGACCCATTGTGCTGGACTGGGACGTTTTGTCATTACAAGCATGTAAGTAATTGATATTTTTAAGTGGAAGGTTGTGTGATAGATGCATTTTAAATAATTATTCAGGTATATACTATTTTCCACAGTAATTTCTACAAATTGTAATACAAAATTACTACTGCTTTATTTTTCCCCAACCAGTTCCAAACAAATTTAGTTTATTTCATTTCTATTTTTTATATTTTGTCTGTTCAAAGTGAGGGCATTATGTGCGTTATATTTTTGTGAAGTTTAGTTTACAGACTCCACGCCAAAGACTTCAGAAGTTTTTAAATGTCAGAGCGATATCATTTTGATCTCTAAAATCAGTTTTCCTTGATAGCAGCATTAAAGGTCAAAATGTTGTAGTTGACGTAGCTTAGATCTTAGTGTTCTCTCTGGGTGCTGACCTAGACCGCCTGACCAGGGGTCCATTCCCTATATTCTGGCAGAGCGGCGAGCAAAGGCTTTCGAGACAATGCCATTCAGTCATTGTGTAACTCATCAGCAGGGTGTGTTCCGGTGCGTTATAAGGGTTGACCTGCCGATGTAGAGTGTCCACCCGTCCTCCAGACCTGCGTGGGGCTCCTCTCTCCAAGACAATGCTCATGCTCAGGCTCGGCTCGGGGAGGTGGCCACTCTAACTTTCGGGTATCGTCCCTTCGACCACGGTGTTTGTGAGCCTAACAAAGACGGCCGGAAAGCAAAGCCTAGCCGCTCTGCCAGAATATAGGGAATGGACCCTTAACAGAATTGATCTATACTCTCCTCATAGGGAAATTAAGAATATGTTGAACTTATGCCTTCTTTCCTTTATTCCTGAACTTCGGTGAATTTCTCAATTTTAAAATGAGCTTAAAAACAGAAACTATCCCCTGAACTGTGTATGTCATGCTTTATGATGGTATAGTAGGGGTAGTGAAGTTATTCATATCAGTTATTTTGTTTGTGTTTCAGAGTGGAAACACTTCCAAGACCAATAAGAGGTCCAGAACGAGTTTGTACGTATTATTTCCATTTCCACATGTTTTAGTTTCTGTCTACATATAAGCTAACAACTGCTTCTCTTGCATTGCAGGTGGTATATTGTCACAAAGTGCTCCATCTTCATCTTTTCTGAGAGAAAGATACGGGTCAAGTGTGGCTTCATCGCCCAATTCTGTCTCATCTTCTCCACCATCCTCAGTACATGAGAATGGTTTTGTTTGGAGAAATTCTGAAACAGAGGGCTCTGTATATGGTAAGGTTACAATTTAATTTTGAGCTTGTTGAGTGTTTTGGTTAAATGACTGTTGGGTTAATTGTAACTTTATGAACTTGCAGGATTCAAGCCTTACTGTTCTTTTTGTAAGAAGAATGGTGAGAGGCCTAATATATACAACTCACACCAGCTGCATTGTACTGACTCTAATGGACGTCGTGTTGTAGAATGTTTTGTTCTGCGAAGTGTTAGGTAACTTGCATTTTGATTCAGTTATTTATCTACTACTAAGGAGTAAGTTTCGTTGTGCCTGATGCCTCATTATGTTTCAGATGCCCAATTTGTGGGGCGACTGGAGATGATGCCCACACAATTAGTCATTGTCCACATTCTTCAACAAGGGTGCCTATAGCTTTGGCACTCAAAAGCACCCTTCGCCAGTGCAACGGGTCACTCAGGAAGAAACCTTTCTAAAGAAGCATAACCAAATTTTGTTCAATCAATTTGATTGATTTTTAGGAGTGTGATGTCTATTAAGTTGGTGTTGTACGTCTAATTTTTTGTTGAATTAGCTATTATGAAATTCTTTATTATTTCATATTTCTATCATTGTTCAATTCATGTTGAGTAAATCCAAGTCAATCAAAGCTGCCAACTTTATACAATTTTGATCTTGACTCATTGATTATTTACTATATATTATCTTAGGTCTTTGGTTGTGGGATTTTTCCTTTAGAATAACTATGATGTTTTATGTCTAAGTGATGTAGATTGTGTATTTGAGTTTTCAATTTAGGTTTTATCACTGTAAACATGAAATAGCTGTAAATTGTACTGTCAGTATTTGCCCAGTAATGAAAGCTTCGTTTTTTATGTGCAAAATATCATGAGAAGATGATTTTTCAAATAGTTGCACTTTTGTTCGGTTTATTTCCGTTTTATAGTTGACAAGTTAAATAAATTTTGAACTGATTTCTTTAATTTGTGTATTTTTTTAGCTTACTTCTCTCTGCTTTGAAAGTAGGTAACTTATTTGTATGGGAATATTTGTAGAGGCCCCTGAAAGTTTTTGAAGGGTTCATCACTAGATATTATCACATCTAAGGCTGTAGTTGCAGAGAAGGCAGAAGGAGCAACGCCGGCAATTCCCTCGCTACATGCATGCGTGGATGATACGTATGCGCTCGCAGCAGCTTGCTCGCGCCTTCCTCGTCCCAGGCGCTTCTCTTTTTCCCCGCTTTCCCCCACCACCAGAGGCTCCTCGGACACAGCCGCGCCTGCGCGGGAGCGCGGGGGCGACCCGCGGGAGGGGGGCGGCGGGGTAGGGTGGGGGAGCCGCGGAAGGTTCGCAGTTTTTGGCGGTCTTTGTACCAGGCGACCACGTTCAGCGAGGAGGTCGCCTCACCGAGCCGCGCCCAAAGAGCCGGCCGGCGGGAGGGGGAGGGCGGCGCCAGTCGCTCCCCCCACTCTTCCACGCTGGCGCGGCTGGCCCCCCCCCCCCCCTCCTCTCCCACCGACTCGCGCTTGCCTCTCTCTCTCGCGCGCGCGCGTCAGCCGCCCCCGCCCCGCGGCCGCGCGCCACCCCGCGCCTAAAGAGCCTCAGAGTGAAAGAGTCGCATGGGTCACGTGACTGGTTCAACTGGGGAGTTCATGTGACC